ATATTTAAAAATTACTGCCAATTTCATTAGGGGTGCGATATTGACCTCTAGTTTGCGCCATTTAATTTTTCTTAAGAACCCCTTTAATATGAGGGTCACATGATAGGTGTTTACATTTGAAAATTTTGAGCTGCCCCCAAAATACACCATTTTGGGGACTGGGGCAAAGTTGTAACTTTGATGAAAAAGTGCAATTTCTTATAATGTAAATATGTGACGAGTTTGGTTTTCCTACTGCAACGCGTTAAAAAGTTAACTGGGGGGTTCCAGAATTTTGCCTAACCCTGTATATTATAACCGAGAACAAACCTTTTCTATTCAACGATTTAACACCGTTGCGAAGCACTCTCAATCATCAAAGTTTGGAAATGCATGGGTCATAAAATAATTCAACAACCATGAACATTCCAATTTCACTTATTACAGTCATTACTAAACTATGTTAATATCTCTCCCTTGGAAATGGGAAAGTACTTTCACACCTGTACAACCTTTTTTTCCATCATGGCTCTAAATTGACTCTGACTGTAAACTTAAATGGCTTTATTTAAAGTGGAAAATTACTTTAAGTATTTGTCTTGCTATCCAAAGTGCGTTTCATACAAATACTACATACTCGAATTCACTTCAGTAGTATTGATTCAAAATTTTAATAGAGCAACTTTTTAAAATATGTATTGTATTCTATTCAAACAATAAAAATTAAAAAGAGGGTTTGAGTCGCAAAGATAAAAGGTCGTATTTGCGTTTTAAGTTTAGAACTAGATTGTCAATCTACTAGTATAAATGAAAGTGTTATCTCACTGGAATTTAATTCAAAACTAGAACCAAATTCCAGTATAATAGGAGCGTAATGAAAGTGAATGTACACTACCCAAAATCATCCAACTATTGGGTCTGATGATGATCGGAGTGTCCAATCGGAATCGATCACCACTTCCAACTTTCATTCACCGTCTTGGGGTAAATAGATTTTTCAAGTGTTATTAGACGTATCTTTACTTATTTGCAGTGAAAATACGTAATGCGTTTAATTTTAAAACAATCAGTAGGCCTACTTAAGAATAATGTTATTGGATATCTAACTCATTTCATGCAGATCTTTATGCATTTTATGCTATAGGTCAAATGAATGACCTACAGTAAATAATATACGAAATATATAACCACTCCGACTTAACAGTACCGGCTTTTATAAGTGCTCATGAGCGATAAAGTAAATTCTATCCTAATACCAGTTTCCGTTTATTTACATATTGAGCACTGAAACCAGATAGAGAGCTATTGCAACTGCTTTCATAAAACTCCAAAAAATGAATAACCTACACTGTAAAAGTCCATCTCGGAATCCCGGAATGATGGACGACGACATTAATGGCCGAGCGAAGTGAGCTGTAGGCGTTACCGGTGTTGTGGTGGCTATATTTATAATCAATGGTTAAATGATTAAACACAACTAAATTAATTTTTCTAACAATTTGATCACAGTTGGATTCAAAGATTATGGATTGCCACACCAATTCACGTTGTAAACAAAACATTATTGTATGGCCTTGCTCATTTTGCTAGATACTAAAAAGGTACCTTGAATTTCAACTCAACAATTTGAGTGATTTGGAGAGTTATTTCTTAACAGAGTTTGTGATTATTTCTTACAAAATGACTCATTTGTTAAAGGTGGGAAAATTATTAGTATTCACAATTACCAGTATTTACCTGTGAAGAAAGACATTATGATTGGGAAACCATAGAAAACAACTCTCACCCCTTGGGTCAGGAAAATACAAATAAAATCTGTTTCATAATTTAAAGTTACCACGAAAACCCTGGGACGGTAACCTTATTCAAACCATATAAATCTAGAAAGATAGAATTTTCATCCAGAACGAGATAAGCTATGTATTTTTAGAACCCAGCTAAACCCAAGACGGTGTACTTTACAAGGCTAAAATAATGTTAATGTCATTATTAAATTAATGAAAACCGGAGCAGGGGAAAATATGCTTCATGACTCAGCGCTGTAGAAAAACGTCCCAATTTAAGGTACGTAAAGTTAATGGTTCGAAATATTTCCTGAACATTATATACGAGTAAAACTTAAATGTAGAAAAATGACGCCTTGTTAAAGTATTTTATGCCACTAAATATAAATTGATCATTATATGCAACTTAAGTATAAATCTCATTGACTTAAATGTTGTAAAGTCTTTAGCATGCCTAAGCATATGAAATATTAAATTTTGAATCATCCATCCACCTAAGATTAAGGTTTTATTCATTGATAGGATTCATAGATCAATGAATTAAATATAAGTAAAACAAAACAATTGTCCTGAAACAATTTGTTGAACGAAACAGGAATAAATTAAAGACAAAAGTAGGAGATGGGAGAGGTCAAGAGCTGGAGAGTGGTTGGATAGGTCAGACATGTTTTCTGACCTTGATATGTCCATCAATGTCCCTCAGGATTCTGCGTGTGTGCAGAGAAGCTTGGCAGGGATTGGAACTAGCACCTCAACTCCTGTAATCTTGAACAATGATCTTGAATTCAAAGATCTCGAACACTGAGTATTATGTTGTGTAAGATTGTAAGATTAGTCAAAGTCTTGAAGCGTCAAAGAATCTTGATCTTAAATATTTAAAGAGTTTATCAGTGAACAAAATTGCATAGGAAATCTTGCATACGTCAGACCTTGAGTACTGAGTGTAATTCACTGAGGTTTTGACACGGGTGTATAAAATCTTGAACAGCAAGTTTTATTGTTCTTAGTGGTCAATAACAAGCTCAACACAGATTCGTGTAAGAAGTTTAAAGTAGAACCCAGTCTTCTTGTATTATTTTTAAGATACAGTATTAAATACCACTATTAGTTAAGCTACCAACTTCTTGGTAGAAATCTTTGATAAGGTAATCCGTTAAACACAGATTATTGAAATGTTAAAAAGTATTAAAGTATTGAGTTGTGAAATCAAATGAAATCAAGTATCTTGTATGTACTTAATCTTTTTTGGGCTTTGAGGTCCTAAAACCAGAATCTTGTGCTGTCCAATACTTCAATCACTTAGTATTGGATCGTGCAAAACCTTAGAGTATTGCAGTATGGAAATATGAATGAAAATCAAAGCACGCTATACAAAGAAATTCCAAAAAATAAATTAGCAGTAATTTAGATTCAAAAAGAGTATATCGGAAGAACTGGCTTGCACTCAGAAGGGTTACTAAGCTTGAAACAAATCTAGTTTGTAAATTGAAATGGCTCTATCAACGTAGATATAACCTTTGTTTTATTTGAGATAATTGACTCTTTTGGAATTTATCTACGAAAAGTAAAAGTAATGTATTTTGGGGAAATGGTGGGTGTGTTTTGAATAGAACAAAAATATTCGTGTACAGAAATAAAACAAGTGTATATGAAGGATGGGTTGAAGAACGAAGAAAATATACAATCAGTACTTGCACACAAGATAAATGATTAATCGAATCTATCAACTACTTATTTATATGAACGAACAAATACAAAATTGTTGAACTGTAATTATTGGATAAAATATATTTGATTTAAAATGTTCAGACATTTTAAACCCATGCAACAAAGCACTATCGCAACATTAGAGTTAGTTTTAATAAGAAGTAACCAAAAATAAATATGCTTATATAAAAGTGCACAAAATACTTCTCTTTAGTTAAATTTAAAATGCCATCCTGCTTACTTCTTGAACTTTATATATTCAGTTTTATAAAAAAAAAACTATTAAAAAATTTAAACACATTTATACTATTTCCAAATGATAAATCATATATGCCATGGTAAAATGCATAACAATGAAAAAGCAAATCATTTTATGTCCATACTATGAATGTCCACCTTAGGATCTATGTCCCTATGTCCACATTAGGTTATAAGCATAAAGACTTAATTTATCCTTAACTTTGATGTTTTTACTTTCACTGAACTTAAGTCTAAATTGTTGTGGGTAAGGTTTTTATTAGTAGTGATTAGAAAAACCGGTTACCTAAAATAAATGAATAAATAAAATAGCAATTTTTTGTATTTTTGTATTTTTATTGAAATAACTTTGCTCGAAGACAGCGCAATGCATTAATGTCGGCAGTGGCTACTCCTTCATACTTGAAACACACTATATACACGCATGCATTATGTGCGTATAGCGTTTGAGAAATGAAGGCATTCACGTTTTATTTATGCCTTCATTGTTTGGTGTTCTAAAACCGTAAAAAAATGTTAAAATGGAAAATCAGCTGATTGTAGAATATTACTTTGCCTTTATTTAAGTAATATCTGCAGGTTTAATTTTTTTTATCTTAATTGATTAAACACACATAAAAGTACCTAAATATTAGTTTGAAGTGAAAATTTGAAGATTAGTACGGCTAATTTATTTCCTCATAATAAAGATAATTTTTAATTTGCGAGGCCACACAAGCATAGTACACATGACATAATATTATGTACTTTAATAATAACTTAATGATAATTTTTGTAGATGCTAGAAACTGTAAACAGGATTTCATGCGATAATCCAAGGTATTTATAAACAATGGTTTTGAGCGATCGACATTGTTTTGCCAAAATATTAAAGAAAGATAATACCTCGGGTTCTTAATACATAGTCATACTTGGATATTTGACCTTTATGTAGCCTATATTAGTGAATGATACCAATTAAAGATATTCTTTATTGCCCTTTTATGTCTAAAGTTTGGATTTCAATCTGTCCAGTATTATATGGTTTCCGTAGTGAAATTGCATGCATTCAACCAAGATATACAACTATTTAATACAACATCAATTGCCTTCTAAAGACAATAGAGAATAAGCCTAGATTGAGAAATAAAAAACTGAGTCAATAAAAAAAGATATTCTAAAATTGCAAAATAAAGATCCAATACATTATAAATAATGGTATCAGCATTTTGGGTTGACATACCATCAATCAGTTAAAGGCTATAGGCCTAACCAACATTTAAATTGTTGCAGCTCGAGGACACAAGAAGAAGGTGAAGAAGGCGATCAAAAAGGCCATCCTGAAGTTGATCATCGTAGGACTGCTGATCAAGCAGAAGATCAAGATGCTGCTGATGGCTGCCCAGACCTTCTTACAGTTCAAGTTCCTGTTGGTCGCTATCGTCTACGTCGTCAGCAACATCGTCAAGATCTGGCTGGATATCAAGAGTAAGCATCATCCCCAGAAGGTCATCTACTACGAGAACGCTCATCATCAGCACCACTACGAGCCAGGTTAGTCTTGAATATGCATCTGTGGTCACTTGATCTGTGTCGATAATTTAGGACCGGTTATAAAGGAAGATTTGTAGATACATGATCCTTTCATTCTTAGTCTCTCGTAACAAAAGCCAAATCTGAACTCTTGAGGATTTGTAGAGTCCTCATCCCGAAGACTGCTATACGTCCTTGTGTTGTAAAAACAAATAATTATGGAAACAGCGATCTTGCGTGCCTCAGACAGTAATGAATGGTGGTATCGGAATTAAAATAAATAATAATGCCTCAAAAATAAAAAGAACAAAACAACAATTCAATGAAAATGGATACAATGATTAGAAATGGAAATTGGAAATGAATTAAGCGACCTTTTGCTTTCTTTTCCTCAATTTGAAAAGAGAAAATCCCATTGCATAGTACTGTGAAGGCAAATTAGTTCTAGTTAACATTTGCTGTTACCCACTTGAATCCATTAAAATTTTTAGTTGTCATACTTATAAAAATTCAAGCTGACCGTTAGAATTCGCATAATGGAGTCCAACAAACCTACACGTGCACTTCAAATTTCACGGAGATACTTCCTCAATTTGGCAAATGTTACTCCCCCCTCGATTAACCCTACCCTAAATTAACTTGCAATTCCCTACTCAAATAAAGAAACAAATTGCGAACAAGGCCCGGCCACTAAAACATTAGGGTCACTTGCCCAAATTTCTCTAATTCGAAGACAAATCATCCATCTTGGTTTCATTTATCGTATTAAAAAAGACGAAGAGAAAAGAGCAATAGGCTAGAAAGTTGGTCTTACAATATTAACTTTAGTAGCATTTTAAGTATTGTATTTTCACACCTACCATTAGTGTCCGTGCCAGTGCTACCTCCAGTTGTATTTCTAGCTCAGTGTACGCAACTAATTTAATCTATACGAATTAAACTCATCAAGAAATAAAAATAAACTTTTGAAGAACTCCCCATGTATGTCTTTGAGAATGCATTTTCTGAAAAAGACCCATGAACACCATTCATTTCAACAGTTCTGATCTCTTTAAAAAAAAATTCTCAACCTTCCTGATCTTAAATATTTGTTATTTTAGAACACCACGACTTCGACGAGCACGAGCACGGTGGTGGCTGGGGAGGACTTTGGGGACGTAGCATTGTTGCCACGGAGCCCACCCCTACCAACAGCCCCTACCACAGCGCTCAGGGTGGTTCTTCAGGCAGCTACGACAACTACCCCCGCAGTATGGACGCCCAGGATATCGTCTACAGGGCTCACAAGCAGTAAACCCTTACCTCTTCATAACCTCAGTAGCCAAAGACTACCAGATGTTCGGCGTTTTACTTTAGATTATAGATACTGAAGTTTACCAAATGCCTAAAGCAAGGTTCAAGTAATTAGTTAGAACTATCAGATGAACAGCAGATATCAAAATGACTTTGATTGATATCGTAGGATATTGGTAAGAACGATTTAATTTTCCAGGTTATCATATTTGCGATTTCGATCAAGTCCACTATGAACCTCGTTCTACAGAGGCACAGCTGGGAAAAATCAGCTGATAACTTCAGTATATATAGTCAATCAGCTGTTATCTCAAATGTTCATATTGATATTTGTGTTGATATAGTGTTTAAAAAGCTACTTAAACCTGCCATTGATTGTTTTCTAGCTATGATTTATCAGTTACTTAATGTGTGAGGTTTATGTTCAATGTTGAATTTATATTTTGCCAAAATTGTAGTGATTTGGATTTATATTAATCAAGAAACGTAATTTTGAACTTAAAAGATTCGTATTTAAAAATACCAGACACCAAAGAGTTTTATATTATTTATTGAGAGTTTTAGCCTGAATGCCTTATGATTTTGGTTGTAAGTTAAAACATTCTTTACTATTTGATATATAAAGGTGTTTTCTATAATTTTGAATTATTCTGCTACAGGATAAGGGAAGGATCATGGATTTTTAGAAAGGGGGGTTTCGTTTGGGATTATTATTTTTTTATGTTACAGCAGGCAGAATCAAAACTAATGCCTGAATAGGTTTTCTTGCCCATATTTAACGTTCAAACGTCTAACTTTGTATATTTTTTTTGTATTTTGCAAATCAAAATATTTCAAGTAAACAATGACTATGTCATTATAATAATCAAAAATGTCTGACTTAGTCATTCAATGTTAATAGATAAACTTAGTAGTTTAGTAAAATTTAACTTTCTACCAAGTAGTTAATCATTTGCACTTATTATATATTATAATAAGGTGCCAACAGATTGTGGTGGTTTACATACTTATATAACGTTTGCACAAATTGTGTTACTAAACATTGCTCAATTTTACTTTTACTAAATAATTTATAATGAAACTCCGTGTAAGTTTATAATTCAAACTAATGAGTAGTGTTTACTTTTTTCTTCTTCATTTAATATTACTGTGACTCTTGTCGTAAATTTTAATTAATTGTTATTTATTGTTTTGATAATTTGTTAATTAATTCTGAATGTTATTTTTGAATGCCATTGTTGTCATTTGAAATTCAGTACGCTATTTATTAGTTAGTTATTTATTTATCTATGTATTTATTTATTTATTAAATTTTATTAGTTGTATCCTTACATGTTATAATTTCTAGCCTGGTGTTATTCTTATTAATAGAATCACATTAATTAATTTAATATATACAGGGTGTCCCGTACGTAAACATCCAAACTCCAGAAAATGGTTCTATGGGTCAAAATAAAGAGAAATTTAGGAATAAAATTTTCCCAGAATCACTTTGTTAACCAGATATCCGCAATTTTTTTACATAAACATTATTATCTTTGAACTTTTAAACCGACCATTATGAAATTTGGATGTATGTTGAAGTAAAACAGACCCATGTTAGAAAAAAATCATCTTAATCCAATTCAAAATTTTAAAATGGAGGCCATTTTTAATTTAATAAAAGCATGTCTTGAACGATTTTATTGAGCATTTAAAATTTCCTATCAAACGACACCATAAGTTCGAAAAGATCTAATAAAAAAATAACTGAAATATCACGATTTTTACTAAAATAATGTTGACCTAACTAAGCTATTCGGGTTTGCCTTTACTTTTTATTCGAACCTTTTGAACTTGGTGAAGTTTGATAGACAAATTTTTAATGCTAACTAAAAGCATCCTTAAAGTTGTCATAAAAAGAGGTGTTTTTTTAGTGATTTGAATTTAAAATATTAAATATATATGTGGCTAAGTGGTATGTGACAATTTGTTGCAGTCTTATACTGTCGGATATCCTAAGACCTTATCCAGGACGTATTGGGTTAAAATATATTTGTATCCCCTGGTAAGGAGTGGTGTGCAACCCGATAAAACATTACTATTTACAACAAATTACATTACATTACAATTACAATGAATGCCTCACGCATTTCACTAAATTAATTGTTACAAGTAAAGTCATTGGTAGTAATGGCTGTAAATTTAACAGAAATACAATCTTCTTAGTGCTCCCAATTTAAAAGGCACACTGTCACATGAGACATGAACATTTTATGAAGGGAGCTGGAAAATCAAACAAAACTTAATACACGGACCACAGCCACAATCGGTTTAGTGATTGATTAATCAGGAAATATAAAGAATATGAATTGGAGGTTTTCGTGCATTTAACTTTAATGCGTTTACATGAGGCTTTCGAAGATTTACATTTACAATGAAATGGGTTGGAATTCAATTGATATTTTAATTTTTCGTGGAGATGACCAGATATAGAGTCATGGGCAGTTAGCTTTTAACATTAATATGGTATTCAAAAATACCCCTGCTGCAGAAGACATGCCTAAGTGAATTCCCATTTTCGGATTTAATTTTTAGTTCTTAAACAAGTCCCAGTTATTCCCTTTTTAAATAAAATTAGATTTAACAAGTACTTAGATTTTACACAAAAAAGGAAAAAAGTGTTTTTGTTGGATACAATCTTAAATAAATTTGATAAATGTATATCTATAGGCAAATGACAAAAGTTCACCGTAAGACCAATACGGAAGTTTTAAAAGTACTGTGTTTTATTTTTATTTTCTCCGTAACCTCTAATTACCTCAATTGTAAAAGAACGCTTCATTAGGCTATAGGCCTACAGAATTATTTGTTTTTTAAGCTTCACTATATTTGTATTGAACAATGGGCATTTTCATGTCTTATTGGTTTTAAGCAATTTAAAAAAATTCCCATAAAACCCCCTTTTTACAACCCAATCTTAATGGTTTGCTATCTCTAAACAGTCGTGCTGAATTTCATCAAAATCGGACCAAAATACTTGAGTTATCGTGTTCACGGACACACATTTCATATACATAATGTTTATTTAAAGCAGCCCAAATAAAAAGTACCATTTGAATATATTTATATATATAATATACCATACTGAACGACAAAACAAGCTCACATTTTGGTCAGCTTTTGGTATTCCTGTTTCCATTTCCGATCAGCTGATATGCATTGTTGCATAGTAATCTATTGTGAATAAGTCTTAACTTTTCACAACCTCTATTTGAGCATGTAGAAAACCCCATATTACGTATTATTTACAATAAATCATCAATAACATTAAACCTCATAGAAAACTTGAACGATGCAATGAAGTAAAGAAAACTGGGATATCATAATATGAGTTGGTTTTGATGTTATAAAGTGTATCACAGTAGTTGTAATTATTTGAGTTGTTGTGTTTAAAAAACCTCATGTATAAAAATTTGAATTGTATTTTTCACCTCTGGGAATATACAACTGAAAAAGTAAATTGGTACCGGGTCAAAACCGTGCCACCTACGCCAATAGCTTCTTCCCTAGTATAGGGAACTTCGCTAAGACTAAACCTTTTAAAATATCTACTATTTAACATTCATCTGTCATTTTACACAAGCGAATTATTAGGTGACAACAATGCAACAATATAAACAGCTAATCTAATATAAAACTACTTGGATACGGAACACAGATATTTCCCATTCAAAAATCCTTGTGTAAAGCTGTGTAAACAAAACTACATTTCAGTCAATATGTCTCTTACACGTATATTAACATTCATTCACCTCAAACCAGTATGAAAAGATTTCAGGAAATCATTCGCCTCGATTTTACATTTTTGTCTCTTGGCTGTCTCTAAACGATCAACGAATCGAAAAAAATTTTATACCTCCGCAGCAGCAAACCTGCAGACCTGAATATATTTTCACGTAAATATCTCCTTAAAAATTTCAGATGTATTCCCTATTTAAATAACATTAGTTTAACAATTACATAGGTTTGCTGATACAGGTAAGATAATAGAGATTTTGGTAATTTTCTCCGAAACCATTTGGCATACAATGTTTCAATATACAAATGATTTGTTTTAGCCCGACAAAATGGTATTGAGAAAATTCCAAACTTGTACAATTTGACAGTCAAAAATGGGAAAACCCAATATTGACTCCATACCCAAAAAATCAACCCCGTTCATGCTGTCCGTATCATGCTTATTCTCAAACCCGTTTAAATTAACTTAGGTCTATATACGCTTGTACCAAATTTGAAATCGGATGATTTTTACTGGAGTTATCGTGCTAATTTTACTAAAAAGGACCTTCGATTTGTCAACCTATCAACCTATGCTTACATTTAAAATTTTCTTCTGATTCCTAGCGGGCCATCCTCCTAAAGAGGTAGCGTATCACATAATGTGATTTTAGTGCTCAGTAACTATGTACCAAGTTTTGAAAAATATAGTTTTTTATATTTCAGGGTCCGGGACTTTTTTCACTCTGTATATGAATTTGAATGAATGGGCCTCTGGGGACCTCAAAACGAAGAATCAAATCGGTCCCGGGTCTAGGTCTTACCATTAGACCTACGGCAATAGCGTATTCCCCATGTGGTGGTAATCCGCTAAAAAGATGGTTTTTTTGTTACACAACTTCACAGGTTAGTTAGTCTTACACTAGGTAGAATGTTGTTTAAAGATAACGCTAGTTATCTGGAGAGTGATAAAGCTCAACAATTAGACGTTGGACGAGTTACTCGACACTCGACAGTTTGTGAAAGCCCGCAGTCGGAAAGTTAACCTCGTCGAAGACGCGTCGAGTAAGTATTCCTCCAATTCTAAGTTACTTTTAATCGCCGGTTACGAAATAGCTCTCACAGTCTCACATATTTGAAATTCATATCAATAAATATATGGATGAATACGGTCAAAGTTGTCTGCAAAATAAAGTCAGGTGATAGAACATGGATTCTTTTAGCTGAAGGCAGCATTTTTTACAATCATGCTAGATTGCTCAACTATTGCACAACGTTTTGAAAATTAATCCTGGAAACATTAAATGTAATGACAATTGAAAATAATAGTATTTATATATTTTTTTATATATAGCCTAATCATACCCAATAATAAACATGTTTACATTTCTTTCAATTTAATAGTTTCATACATTTACAAACAATAAGACATATTACACAGATAGTATAAAACTTTCCTTGCCAAACGTATACCAAACGTTCCAGAGCATTGGTGGGTGTTTATTCAATATTACGTATTTCAAAATGCATGATCTACTCTTTATATCTCGTCGTCTGGAATGACGACTTCACCTTAATCGTTTTAAAGTGGGTGCGATAGAAATGCCGCTCCCTCGCCTTGGTAATTTCTGTCGTCTATTTTAGTTCATGTACTCTTTACGGTCTAAAATGTTCCATTTCATCCTTATATTTAGAGAAAAGGCTTCAATTTTGTATTTGAGACAGGTTTTGCGTAGTAGGAAGCTACGTGAAGGACGTAAAATCATCATGACAGCATGAATCATCAAAAGTTACAAAAGAATATTTGTTATCCCCCTTGCTAAGGTTGACAACACATTTTTGGCGCAAAGAAAAAATCGGCTAATGCTAAAAATGGTATTGAAATAATACCAAACAAACATACCGTAAAAGTTGTACTAAGCTAGTTATTCTTATTTAACACTTTCTCTGGCAGGCTTAACACTCCTCTGCATGTATGGTTGTGTAACTAGCTAGTGAATGTGTTAAATACCCGTAAGTGCTCAGCAAAGATGCTGGTATTTCAGCAAACGTGGTCTTGACATTCAATTTACACCGACATACATATTTGCATACGAGGGCATATGTAGCATGTTGACAACTCGCAGTAATGAGAAAACCCCCTGTAGTTGTTGCTAAAGAATTGATCTACACATACATACATGGGTAGCGGAGCGAGTTCCGTCCTATTTTTTGCCATGGGTAAAAATCGTCAGGTAGGCCCGAGTGCCGTTTGACTCCCGAGAGCGGAAGAGTGATTCAGCTATTCAGGGGAGGGGTATTATTAGAAGGGGGTGTAGTGGGCAGAATGTAACGGAACCGGGTTCAGTCTCTTAACTGGGCTACGCTAATATCGATTGAAAAATATCATTTAATTAG